TGGTGACGCGTCACACCACAATTGCAGTGTGACACTGAATCACAATGATGTGACTGCGAAGGGTCGCAACGCAACCGCATTATACCGTATTTGGGCCGCAACGTAACTGCATCAATGTAAAAAATATTTTTTACTCAAAATAATTCACACCGCAATGGCCGCAATCCGCATTGCAATGGCCACAATCGCAGTAATCGCAACCGCAATCACGACCACAATGGCAATTTAAAACATTGGATAGGGCACTATGATATCGTTCGATCCATGTAATCGTCTCTACCTAGTGAGACCAAGGCTTGATTGTTGTTGTCATGTAAATCCAATTTTGATTACGTTCTATCTCCAAATTTTCTACAAAACACCATAGAAAAGTGTCTAAAGAGAGCAGGAAGTAGTAGTTTCTTCATTTCATTTAGTAGCAAACCAGACAGAAGCTTTGTTGTAATAGTAATACGTGTTATTTTGCAAGGTCTGGCTTCTATTGAAGAGATTGACTTATTCCAATGCTTGATCAACATGTAATTTGATAGCTAGATTTGAAATATATAGGGTGCGTCCCCCTGTTATTCTTGTTAGTGGAATATATAGGGTGCAAGCTTTTACGTGTACCCGTGCTTCCTAGATGAAATATAATATTCATTCTTGTTAGTGGAATTTCATTGGTATGATGTCTCTCTAAGCATCACTTTAAGTCATTCATGAGGCTTTTACTATGCTGTGTTGAAGAAGACATTATATTCATTGAAGTTGCATTGAAAGCATAAGTTTCTTCTTTGCGTGCTTCCCAGCTTTTACTTTAAATGACTAAAAAAATTTCCATTGAAAAGCTGCTTCTTTTTGGCATCAACATGTTTCCTACAATTACAGTGTAACCTTTAACTTCACATACTGATAGTTATGTTCTATGTTTACTTCCCATTTTGAAGGCAAACGTAAAGCCACTACAGACAATCTAATGCAGCAGCAACCTCCACTGAAGAAAATTGCTGTCGATGGCCCTATGGGTTTGATACCGATGAACTCCACCATGATGGGGGTTTCTAACGTCGGCATGTCATCAACGGGTCGTCAATTAGCAAATGACAACATGCCAGGGAGAGAGGTTGAAGGTCAACAGTCTAAGGCATCTTCCATTCTTGCTCAAGCTTGGAAGGATGACATGGATTCAGGTCATTTGCTGTCCACACTGTTTGAATTATTTGGTGAGAGTCTGTTGTCATATATTCCAAAACCGGAAGCATGTATATTTTTGTAAAAAACGAATAGCGGCTCAGTGGTCGAAGCTCCCGCCTCAATGGGGTATGAGGAGAGTATATGTATGCAGCCGTACCATCATAAGGCAAGAGGATGTCAAAGTGCATGTAACTTGGTGACATGTCTTTGGTGACTTAGTGCTGAAGATTATCATAGGCTAGAGTAGAAAATTGTATTTTAAAAAATATATATTTAAACTCTTCCAGAAACCATGTAAACATTGCAGTTGTCTTAGATATTTATTTAGCATTTTTATTCTATTATCATTTGATTATATTTCTATTATACACCACTCAGCATGTACAAATTTTAGCATACTAATGTTTATTTTGGTCACTGGCTTATTTTTTAAATTTGATCCTTAATATTTCACTTGAGTTCCTCATCTTTGTCTTTTCTTTCACGATAGTCTTTTGATGATATCAATAATGTTTCTTACTTTGCTTATGTGGTCTAAAAAAGGCATCATTTTTCTCTGAAAAGCATATTAATGAATTAAATTCTACATTTTTAAAAGAAAATAGATTAGATTAAATGAATCATATCAAGAAAACCATTTGAAAATAATTATTGAAGTAGCTAAAGAATGAAGTGAAAGCATTCATTATAAATAAGAGTAAATTACACTCACACCCCCTGACTTTTAATGAAATTATACAAACCTACCATCTCCCTTCTTTGTCATTACACCAACCACCCCTCCCTCCTACACAAACCACCCCTAGATTTATACATACATTACACATACTACCCCTGCATCTTATAAAAGTGTAATATTTTAAAGAAAAAAATGTGTGATGAATGTAATTAAGTTAAACAAAATATTGTATATTGTGTAACACTTCAAATAGTACAAAAGCGAATGTTTCTTTATTATTTTTGTGTCAGTAAAAAATACATTAATAATTTCAAATAAATGTTTAAATAACTCTTATATTATTTTATAACGAGCCAAATAATGAAGACGCATTGACTCTTATATTATTTGAATTTTTCTACATAATATACAATATTTTATTTAATTAATTACACACATCATACGTTTTTTGTTTAAAATATTACACTTTTATATTATGCAGGGGTAGTCAGGGTAACATATGTATAAAATTAGAGTGGTTCGTGTAAGGACAAAAAAATGAGGGGTGGTTTGTGTAATTTCACTAAAACTCAGGGGGTGTGAGTGTAATTTACTCTATAAATAATAAATAATGAAGATTTTAACATTAACAGCTTAACGATTCGTATCAAATAAAAATATCTAGGAAGTTATTACTCACAATCTCTCCTTGCACAAAAAATGTGTGGACAACTCTTTCAAAGTGAAAAAGAAAAGGACAAGAAAAGAAAAGAAAAGAAAAAGGTTAAGTGAATATGACATCGAAAGAAAGCTCTTAAGATAAACATTTAGAGTTTAACAAACTCTAATATATTTATATAGAAAATGATACAATTTAACAAGTTGTAGTATGATTCTAAATATACTTTTACAAGTTCTCCTATTGTTCTAGTGATTGTAATATCCACACCGCTTGAGCAAATTTACATCAACAATCCAAAGAGTTAGATTGGATATCGGGAAATGTTACGGTACTTAATTGAAGAGGAGCACAAGTTGTATATGTTATTTTTCTATGTCACTTTTATATGCTACCAATTACATTTTGACACGTCAATTAAAGTTGCACCATAATAACTAATCAATAGTTAACAGAATATAAAGATGAATTTATAATTGGTGGCACATAGAAGTGACATAGACAACTTTTACTCATAGGTTTTGTAATAAATAATACTTGGTTATAGATATGAAGATGTTTGTTTAATGAAGAATACTAAAGAGACTTGAAGCGATGAGAATACTTTCACTATTCATTGTAATTGTGAATTTTCTTTCGGTTGAAGTTGAATGAAGAAATCCTTTAGTGAGGAGCTAGGGTTACTATACATAGCCTAACTTGAGAGTACTAATATAAATGATTGTGTTTATCTTCCACCCTTAACTTTTTATATTTACTACTAACTGTTGGTTTTGAATGTGAAGATATTAACTTTTTTTTAAAAATGTTTTGATATATTTGTTTATGTTATTTGCTAAACAAACACACCTTTCTTATATAAATAATGTGTTGACCTAGTGATGTAAGATCCCACCATATCATAAAAATCAAAAAGTCAAAGATTCGATTCTTGTGAGTGACACTTGTTAGGAGGAACGGTCACAAACCCGAAAGAGATTAGTTCATTACCCAAAAGTTGAGAAAATACCATTGGGAATACAAAAAAACCAACATTTCTTATTCGACATCATCCAATCTATAATTCAAGTGTTGCTTAAAGAAAATATTTTTGAATTACATATTTTTCAAAAGTACTTAACAGACATAATTCAACCCCTTCTTATAACTACGAGTAAAACTTTACTTCTGAGACGATGAATTAGGTAGAGCTTGCCCAAGCTTTTCTGAATTTCTTAAGGAGACGTTGGGCCAAACATGCTTTAAAGAAACTCTTAAAATATTAAGAAATGAAGAAAGTTTCTTAAAAAAATGTATTTTGAAGAATTTAGTTTCAATATTTGATTTTGATTCACATTGTCGCCACCGCAAAAAAAAAATTAGCTTAAAAATAGCTTTTAATTTGATGTTGTTATATGTTTGGTAATATGTAAGTATAAACATGTTTAAGTAGTTTACATTATATAAATTTATGAGCAAAACTATTAGAATTATAATTGAAGTTATTTTCTATTTTTAAGTTTGCCATATAAGTTTTTTGTTTTAAATAAATCATTATCTATTTTCATATTGGCCCTTTAATTTATTTCTTCTCTTAAATTGTTACTATAAATAATTTTTTTTTCTCCATTAGTGCAACAATTTCAAAAAATATATTTTTATTCTATATCAATTGATATCAAAATTGTGAATTTTGGGAAGTTGTTAGGAAATACTTATATGTTGGACCAAATTGGAATAAAGTTGCAAAACAAAACTACAAATAGAGAATAATCTAGCAGGGTTCTAGTAATTTCGTCTAATATATGTAATATGATATGCATGTTCTTTAGTTTTTGTCTTTATTTTCACTTTACCAAAAAAATATGGTATATATGTAATGGCTAAAATTTTCTTTATTTTAAGTCACAAACTTTATTCTTTACCACGTACATATTGAAATTCTAGCCCCACTTCTACCTAATATTTTGACCGAGTTGATTATCTACCTAGTTTAACAACATTATCGAAACATCTTTTAAGTAAGAAAATATATTGCCGTAGAAATAAAGAAAACCAATTTGATTTATATAAATATATAGGAAATGTATCCACCTACTTTAAGAGTAAGTGAAACAAATTACTCCATTTTAACAATCTATTATAGGAAGATTTAATAATTTAAACCATTAAATTTTCCTAAAATAGATGATTAAAATGTAGAGTAGATTTTGGATCCCCTATTATAATCTAGTTTTTAAAGAGAGGAACAAATGAAATGCCTTGAATTATGTGATATATTTTAGAGAAAAAGATGAATGCAATAACAACTTTCATTATATTATCTAATGTTTATTTTTAATTATTATTAACTCTTAAAATCATACAAATAAATTGTAGATAATATGTTGATCTATATAGACAGTGCATAAATATTATATTTTATGGTTTCATCCATTAAGCATGAAAATAATAATATAAAATTAACATGGGTTGAGATGTAATTAGCGCCAAATTTGGGCCTATGGTGACGAAAGCCCAGTTCGTTCTGAATCAGAATTCGTAACGTGGCTAACTATAAGCGCAACGTGATGAAGGAAAGAATCCTGAGATCTCTACACCGTTCATCAACAACTTCAGAATTCAGAGGTAACCCAACATTTTCAACGCATTTACTTCATTTTCTCTGCAATCAAACACCGTCAATTATGTTTTCCGTTTCTCTGATTCGTGGAAAATATGTTTCATCATTTTGATTATACTTTGTTGCAGGAGTTACCTTTCTCTGATCAGGATCTGCTTTGAATCGACATGGGTTTCTTGATAACGACGCTAATATTCGCAGTTATTGGGGATAATCGCGTGTCTCTGCACCCGAATTTGCTGTAACAGAGGACCTTCTGCTAATCTGTATGTTGCTTCTATTCTTCGTTTCGTTGTTGTGTCTATTTTGTTTTTCATTTGATTGTGTTTTCCGTTTTATGTTACAAATGTATTGTTTCGATTCCGGAGCAGTATCCATATGTTGCATTGGTTGAATTATGGGTTCTTTGATCACAATTGGAGTACATTACATTACATCCTTTCGATTTTGATTCGTTTAGTCTAGTAGTGTAAGGCCCTGCTGATCCCTAGGTAAACCAAAAGGTTAAGGGTTTGATTCGCGGGAGAAACTTTTAATACCCCGAAAAAACTGTTTTCTTTTATGTCCCATTAATTTTTGTTGCCTCTCCCTTCTGGATTACCTTTCTCTGTACAATACTTCATTCTCATTTATTTTTATAATCTCGTAATTCTATTGCAGATTTCACCTGACTTTGGTTATTACTGCAACAATATGCTGCTGGATGATGTAAGTTTTGTCTGTTGGGCATTGTTTTTATAGTTTGTATCAAGTTATAATAGGAATTATAGCATGTAGAATTTGTGTATCTGAGTTTATTTCCCTTGGGGAGGAATATATCCATTAGTAGAATTAAACACTATTTTCTCATGTACATGACTTCATAATCGTAGGCTGACGTGTATCCACTATCCATAGTTATTACTGTTGAATTTGTTTGTTTCAGTAGCTATTCTTTCGCTTTCATTGACGTCCATTATGTTGCCATGCGATTTTTTTAGTATTTTTTGGTCTAACGCCCCGTTCTGTATATCAGCTGTCATTGTAATAAAATTGATTGCTGTAGAATGGTTGAACTTTGTAGGAGTCGGATAGTTTAGGTAATTATACCTGAGCATATGCATGCCCAATGCCTTAATTCTCTTTAGAGAAGTGCATTGTGTTTTATTAGCAAGAAAGACTTCTCACGTCATTGTACCACATGTTCGAAAATGAAATGTGGGTGTCCCACTGTGGATCGGTTGTTACTTTGGAGATATCTTTTTCCTTGATTTAACTACTTTTTGTCACTTTTATATTTTGCGTGCACACTCTAAGTGTGTGAACTTACAAGACAAAACTGTAAGTAGTTTACGTACCAATTTGTTTGAGATTCCTTTTACCATTATGCATATTTTATCATCCACATAGAACTTCTAGCAGAATTGGATGAACATGAGTCAAAAGGATGATGTCTACCTCATCTCGTGGAATAAATGCTGTCTGAAAGAATGTCCAATACAATGTGGTTCAATTGTGATTGTAATATTTAAATAGCTATATTAAGTTTTGTTTGTCATTATTCTCATTTTTGTCTTTCTTTTGTTCTATCAGGTGGGCAATTGTTTATATGGCCCAAATGAAACCGCTCATAGTACCGATATTGAATGAGGGTGAATAAATCTCAACTTGAACAGATTAGTCTCCTTGTAAGTTAGAGAATGTGGATCACAGTTTGGCTGCTGGAGAGAATTTGATTTCGATTTCGGCCCTCATGAATCATTCAGTATTTTCTAAAGGTGGATTTGTATGTATTAATTGTTGGATAATGGTATTCCATTTGGCATTTCTATATTGCTGCCTGATGTTTGTATTACAATGTTTGTATTTAACAGTCATTCATTTCAGATGTCGGTAGACAATGATAATGGGTATGTATTTTGGTGACAAATAAGTTCATTAAAGAAATGTTTTTCTCTAAGAAAAGGGTGATAGAAAGAGGTCAATTCGTGGTCCTTGTTTACAATTCTATGGTATTGAACTAGGCTCTGTTTATAATGTGACCTATAGGTTGTTACATTTACACTTTTAGTCTTCGGTGCTGGTAGTTAGCACTTATTACCTTGTATCATGGACCACACCTAATGCGACTATAATATTATGGTTGTGGTGATCTTTGTAGCTGCATTGTCCTGCAATTATGATATTTCACTGAATCATGTTGATGCAATGTGACTGTAATGCACCTTAATTTTGGTTCAATTGGGCCATATCAATTTCAAAAAAAAAATTTAATCACAAATTTTTAACGTTACAATGATCGCAATTCATATCACAAGCTCTCACAATGATATGAATCAACTTAACAAAAGATGCTAGACTACAAGAACATTCTTTCTCTACCTCAATATTGTTTAGAGTTTCATCAGTGTAATTGCAGAACTAATTCACATTGCTCTTGAACAATATTAGATCAATTAGAAGTATATATTCCAGAAGTAGCAAAGCCTATTAAAATTATTAGAAGTATATTATTAAGTCCTCACGTGGTAGTGGATGATTCATAAGGTGGCAATGGTAATCTTGGTCACTGGCTTTTGGGATGAGAATGGATTAGGTCGCAAATTGTGCTCCAAAATCATATATGATAGGTGATACTCTTAAGTATATTTATGAGTATACTGTAAGCAATACACTACTTATAAAATATGATATGCAAGTGGTATACTTAACTATTAATATACTGCTTACATTCCTATTTATATGTTTATTTTTTGTTCCAGAAGGCAGAATATAATAAACAATCATTATATTTGTTATATGTATTTTTCCAACCCAATATAAAAAGGAAAGAAAATAATAATATTCATTATAATTAATTATTATTTCCTATCTAAAATCAATTTTTAGTTATTTAGTGAATTAATATTTATTAGAATCTAATTATTATTTGTTATAACCAGATTAACATATTATAGGTAATATTTGTTATGAAATAACTTTAAATAAGAATAATAGAAAGTAAATCAGAGAAAGAGACGAGATTGATAAGTTGGTTCTACAAAAAGATTCTTTATTTGAAAACAAAAAAGACTATGATTTCAACAATTGATGACAAAATCTAAATTAATTTTTCTAGCCAAAGTCTATAGAAAGGTAAAAGGTTTGCGTAAGACTAAATACTAAAATAGATTTTCAAAAACCTTTTCAAAATATGTGCACAACATTTTTCAAATAGAAATATATCCAACACTACTTATGATAGTGCAAATATAAGGGAAAGTAAGCTTATCAAATAACAAAAGTTTGTGTTTGTATATGTCAAATATTAAACAGATAATACAATCATATGTAAACAACTTATGAAATTTCATATATAAGGAAAGTAAGCTTATTATATAAAAATATTTCATATATGACAAATACTGAAAATGTATAAGCTGTTAACCAAATATATGCATACAAGTGTTTATTTAATTTCTCTCTTCTCCCAATTTTATCCATTTTTTGTCATCAAACAAGAAGGTAATACATTTTACCATCATAGTCATCAAGGATAAAAGTATACATTATGTTTAAATAAATGTACAAAAAAATGATTTACAAAACAATAAAAAAAAATATGGATTTGTAGGGATTTGGATTATTGTAAGGATAAGATGAGAAACTAGGGGGGTAAATTAGTTTTCTGCACTATTTCAGATTTTTGAAACTTTAGTCTTGTTAAGAGTATAATGCAGCAGATAAATGTAAGTTGCAGAAATCTTAACGCATAATACAAAATAGAGAGAAAGTGAAGAAATAGATACACCATGTTTTTATATTGATTGACCTTCTAATCTACTTGAAGACTACGTCTAGTCCCCTTGTAACCACAAGAGATTTTATTGATGATGACTTAATCTATTAAAAATTTCACCCTGAGACTTTGTCTCCATACTACACTCACCAAAATCTCACTCACTTAGAAGAATACCTCTTTTGAGTCCCTCTTTACTTTTTCATGAAACTCTATGGTGAAAAGTGTATACAACAAATTGATACAAAATGAAGAATGTTTCTAAGGCTTAGATTGCATAAAGAATTTGGCTTTTATAAACATGCAATCCTTAAAGTCATTCACCAGAATAACACAAATGCTCAAGTGCTTTTAATATATAAAACTTGGAAGAAAACAATTCACAACTTGAAGAATTTCTGAAAGTTTTTATAGAATTTGATTGAAACGACATTGATTCGTTTTGGGTGGAGTTGTTTAAGTTTGCATTTGAAAATATGGTGTAACAACTTTCGGTAATCGATTACTTTCATGGGTAACCAATAACCCAAAGTTTTTGCCTAAATGAGTAATTAGTTACTCCTATGAGTAATCGGTTACTCCCATGAGTAATCTGTTACTTTGTGCACAAATTGCTCGGTAACCTGTTACTCAGTATGGGTAATGGGTTGCTTAGTCTCATTAATCCATTGCCTGATTCTAGTAACCCATTACTTGGTTACATAAATCAATTACTTAGGTCTAATAACCCTTTACTCAAGTTAAGTAATCTATTACTTAACTTTTTGAAAATTAAGCTCATTTTAATTCCAAATTAAAATAATTTTCTAAAAGATTTTCATTGAACGTTGGGTTAAACTTAATAAAAGACTTAGGGATTTTCTTCTAAGTAGATTTTCTAGTCTACTTAATAAAATATTTTCTAGTCTCATTAATAAAAGACTTAGAAGACTCAAATACATCATGAACTTGAGTAGATTTTCTTCTAAGTTTTATGGTCTTCTTTTTTTTTACTTATTTTTGCTGATATTAGTGTCTTCATCAAAATCATGTCAAGGTTAGGAACAATATCTTCTTCACCATCTATCGCTTTATGATGATGAAAAACCAAGATCTTCTTGACAATTTGAGTTTTATGATTTTACATACATGCGTTGATGTAAACATTTGAACTTGTGTATGCTCCCTGTTTGTTTTTGAATAAGTGCCCTGAAAAATTAAGTCCAAAAAATACAAAACTCCAACTTTTCTTCTCTTTTTGACTTCATCACAAATAAGGAAAAACCAAGTTTCTGTAAGTATTATAGTATATATATATAACACAAAGGTTACAAAATAAGTGACTTTCACAAAGCCAAGTTAGAACTGATGAACAATATTTAAAGATGCTATGTAAGAGATGATAACAATGTTTAAACTATTACAAACCAAGACTGAAAAGTTAAAAGCTTAGACAACAAAACTCTACAATAAACAACATCAACAACCAAAACAGACAACAACCCTAAACTAAGATTCTGGCTCATCACGATCATCGCCGATCTCCATGTAATTCAATCAATTAGATAATCGTTTGAGTTCAGTATGAACTTGTTGGTTCATAACTTCAAGAGCATCCATCTTTGTGATTATGTAGTCTCGAAGTGAAACCAACTCATCCATGATCAACTAGAAGGCATATTCACTAAACTCTTGGCAAAAGAACCATTTTACAAGATCAGAAGAGAATCAGTCATATTAGATGAAGTATATTTAAATTAAAGCATTACTACATGTTTATATGAATGCTTTCTAACATGATGTATATGCCTACTTGTTTGATTGATTGTGTGATTTTGTGAAATTTTAAATTTTTTGGGTGTTTAACCAATTACTCTCCTTACATGTATGGGTGTGTTGTAACAATGAATATGTGATGAGCTGTTAAGGTGTTAAAATGGGTAAGAGATAAGTATCTTCATTATATTTAAGATGATGCAACTATATTATGCGTGTAAAATGATGTGGTTGTGATATAATGTAAAATGGATCACCTTTGTGGTGTAAGTGTTGCCCGTAGTAGTAATGGATCACCTTTGTGGTATAAGTGTTGCCCGTAGTGGTAATGGATCACCTTTGTGGTGTAAGTGTTTCCCGTAGTGGTAATGGATCACCTTTGAGGTGTGGAACTGCCGGGTGTGGCAATGGATCACTTTTTGTGATGTAGACTTACCCTTTGTGGTATTGGATTATCTGTGTAGTGTACACGGGTGGAATATGGATAATATGAGATGAATAAAATATGCACACTATAGAACATATATATTATGGGATGTATGTGTACTATAGGGTGAATATGGATAATATGAGATGAATAAAATATGCACACTATAGAACATATATATTATGGGATGTATGTGTACTATAGGGTGAATATGGGTAATATGAGATGAATTAAATATGCACACTATAGAACACATATAGTATGAGATATATGTGTACTATAGGGTGAATATGGATAATATGTGTTGATTGATGTATGTTTATCATGATTGATGTTAGATGTGTGTGGTTTTAATACTTTAATGTTATTACTCCATGTAAATCCACGCTACGGTCGCCGTAGTTGGTTCTTACTCCCTCTGTCTTTCCTTGTATGTGCTATGTATTTGAGTTCAGGTCGTGGCGGTCGCACATCGGATGCTTGCAGAGGAGAGTACATGTTTGAGTAGTTGCTTTATGTTCTCAATGTTGTAATTGAATAATGCATGTAATATGGAGAGTATGTTAAATGGGATTTATGTATGAATGACTATCTCGTAAATGTATAGTTAGGATATTAAACGATGTAACAATGGAAGTTTTATTGAGAATGGATAATTGTATTTAAATGGTGTAATTAAAAGGAAGTGAAATGACATGTTTCTAATGAAGTGAACGACTGATTGTTTCTGCACCTGAAAGAAGAATCAAACTTATATATATATATTCAATCAGGTTTTCCAAATCGTTCGAGTAATGTCTTTTAAAAGTAATCACTTCGTTACTAATCTGGGTAATTATTTGGTAATCCCTCTAGTCCAAGGGAGGATTAGTAGATATGATTTTAATCATTTGATGGAGGAGATTCATGTTCGTCTGACTCTTTGGAAGTCGAACCTCCTAAATAAAGTTGGTATGTCTGGTTAAATATGTTCTCACTTCCATTCTGACTTATACCATGCAAGGTATGTGGCTCCCTTAGAGTGTGTGTAACGAGATTGATAGGATGTCTAGAAACTTTATTTAGAATGACGATGCTAGCAAGAGGAGTCTCAATCTGATTGGATAGAATGTTGTTACTAGGCACAAGAGACATGAGGGTCTTGGGATTCGAGACTCACGCTCGA